AGGTCTTTATTTGCTTAAGTCATAGCATGTAATAAGCAGTTATAACTCATCACTCGGCTGGCTGGTTATGTTAAGTCTGCTGCTAAACACAAATTATCGGTAGGTCAGGGAATATGTTGAATGTAAGGAATAGCTCTATGAAGTTGGGTAAGCATTACTTTAGCTTTCTAAACTTGTGGAATGAGGGGCAGGAATCACTTATTGGGCTTATCTTTCATCATTAGTATTTACTTTTCGATACTTATATTGTACATCTAAGATCTAATCGAAGAGGGCAATATCTAATGACAGACCAACGGCTGTGCATACTCAGCCGTATTACATGTGATTAAAGAATAGCATATTTTTCGTGTTTTATCGAATAGCAGCTTTAAATTTTCTGCAAAATACCCCCATTTCAACTCTCATCTGCATTCTAAGGAGACATACTCCTTGATAAGTTACTGGGGAAGGCTTCAGCAAAGCCAGCTTTCGGAGCTATGACATTAAATTTTTTACGATCATTTCTCATCTCATATTTAGCCCACACTAAAAGAAAAGGACGACTATATCATGCGGCTCTTCACCTAGCTAGGGTTGGGAGGATGTTGTCAATTTCTCAATCAATTTATTGCTTTCAACAGTAGGTATAAAGTCGCCAGTAACACCCATCGCTTTTTTTCCATTTCTCTTTATTTAGGCGAATCCCCAACACCTGCTGTCCAATCTCTCTTTCCTGGAGACCTTTGGGGCTGATTACCTTGAAGGTGAGGAGCAGTACCTGAGGTGCCAGTTTTATGTCGCCGTCAATGTAGTCAAGCGCCTGCTCTCCGAAGCCGCAATGCGTGAAAAGTGTTAATTATTAAAGGCTTATATCCCCTCTTCCGTTTGGGATGAATTTTTCAGACTCCTTCTTCAGCTGGCTTCTTTTTAGTTTCTTACCTAATTTTAGTGACGCTCCATCTTTCCCATCATACCTAACTTGAGTTATTCGAGCTTTTTTTCTATTTTTTCAAACTAATTTACCCTGTCTACTATCACAAATAAATGGCAACCTGATATTCACATTCTCTTTAGTAAGATGGAAGGATTCACACAATTACTGAATACTAGCCACCTTACATACTTGCCCTTAAACGATCTTTGGTATAAACGAAGTAACTAAGCTCATTCATTCATATGACTAACCCAAGAACGTGGTTTTGATTATCGTGTTGAGCATTTATGTTGTCCTCACACGACTTGTTCATCTCTTTCCCTCTCAATTTCTCATTGGTTTTTACATAGGGCTGAGATACCAACAAGAATGCTAGCCACGCATATTGGTGAGACCACAAGATATTCAAGCAGGCCGAAATGTTGGCCAAGATGCTTTATGGGTTATGGCCCAAATGCATTGTTCTGTGACATATATTCACCCTATTTAGTTTAAGGTGATAGAAGTACTGGTATATGAGATGTATTCCACCAGAAGACGACAGCGGATTTCTCTTGACCAGCTGTCGATTTGCTTTACTGGAACATTCATGTTGGCGCTGTTTGCGAAGTAATCTCCTTCGATTCCGTTGAAAACATTCTAAGCTTTCGTCCGTCATATGACGAACATCACCAGAGCATGATATCATCGTTACAACCAAATGCAAGCTAACGAGTCAAGAAAACTCATCAGCAAATCTTTAAAAAGCTCTATATACTCTGTATCTGGTTAGTTACGGTCATGTCAGCCTCGAAGCCTGTGAGTGTGTCTGTCTCTGTATGAGTGTGCCTGTTTGTGTTAGCTTACACACGAAACCAACAATGACGACTCAGAGTAATTATGACAGCAAAAGTAACGTCTGTTTTCGGCCATCAAGGCTTGATGACCACTATCTCTCCCTTTCTACATACATGTTATAACCATCACTCAAATTGCGCATGGTTAGACACATGTCTGGTTATGTTAATGATCCTTTTTGTTTTTGGTCTTCATGCGAGAGAGAAAGAGTGAACTACAAGTACCGAGAATTGACTATGATTAGAACC